CAACATGTAAAAAAAAAAATTGGCATAGTGGCAGTTATGAAAATATCTTGTATGGAGAGGGTGCGATTGGCAAACCAACGTAGAAGGTGTGCATTATTTGTGTAAAAATGCGGTAATGTGCTTTTATTAAATAAATGAACAATTGAATGAATGATTATTCCAGCAAAATATTTAGAAGTTATTTCTTTTTGTGTTTGCATAGTTCCCCCATTAGGTACTTTGCAGTGGATATGCCCTGTAGTGTTCCTTGGAAAAATGTGTCAGTTCCAAAACATATTAAAAAAAAATGTAATTTCACCCAAGCTAATCCTACTTTCAGTAAAGGTGACTGGATCCCTGAGTTGATTTTTAGTTTATCAAGCACTTTAGTTCCAACCAAGGAATGATTTTTATATTAATTGCCAATTATTAGAACTAGTAGGAGTTACTGGTTATATAAGAGAATCAAGCCCTTGACTTTACCTATATCATAAAGGAATTTTAAAGATGAAGGTCTTGAAGATATTCGAATATACTTCATTTGCATTTCAATTTAGATGTTATTTAAAAGCCAAATAATTGCTACCTCCTGTGTTATACATTTCTACTCTGTATAAGGCTTAATAACAATCTTAATTAGGCTAATTTTAGTCAGATTAAGACTTGTATGTGTCAGCACAAACTTTGGAACGCTGCATACTGCTGGCTTTAATTAACACTAAGGAAAGGAAATACTCATGTTGTAAACATTTTTTAACCAAAAAAGGCTAAAATGAAGTATGCACAATTATGTCAGAGGATAAATCACAACAAATCACTGATTCTAGATTTTTAGTGAAATAAGGTTGACATTAAAATAGATAATAATTACGGTCAAGTGTAATGTTAGGAAAATATTGTCTTGATAGAATACTTTGAGCATGATATCAATCCTTTCCATTTCATACAGAGTTCTGGAAAGTTTGGAGATTTTTTTTATAGTTGGCACCCTAATATACACTTCTTGATTTCATTAGGTGATGAACTTAGGAATGTTATATCTTGAATTAGAAGCCTCTCTTTTGTTGCTGTTTAAGAGCTAGAAAAAGGAAACAAATCTCTTTATTTCCTTCCTTAAGTTTCTAGTTTGACCAAGTGTGAGATTTCCATTTCTCACCCTTGGCCTGAGCTGTGATTATGCCTGTCAAACATTAGGCATTGTCATCCTTAAAGATGAGAGTCCCTGGAAGTGACTGAATGTGAAAGGACATCATGTCGGGAGTATAAGGAGTAACTGCCCATTGTGGTAACAAAAGGATTTTCATTGAATTCATTGGAAATAGCAGTGAGGATTTCAAGTGAACACTGATAATTTAACTTTCATTTTTAAAGCTAATAATAATAATAAAGCAATGACTTTAGAATTAGAAGACTGTAATTTAAATGATACTATCTTCGTGACTCTTGATCTCTTAAATGATTGTTTATCCTGAGTTTTAACGTGAAATGTATATGAATGGTGCCTAGGTTCAAATTAGAAACTCAATAAATATTTGTTCAGTCATAATTTATATGCTTATAAACCCCACCCACTTGAGTTCAAGGTAAAAGGAAATTTTTATGTCAGAATAATTTGATTACATAAATTACTATCAAAAGTACCCTAGGTTTGTACCTATGTGTCCTGATAAAACATGTTAATCTTCTTTAATTATAATCAGAATATGGAAAATTTAAGCAAATAGCTAGTTAAAAAGACAAATATCATCATATTTTTTATATTCCCATAGCAAAACGTTATGCAAATAAATGAGAAATTATGCAAATGAATGATTGCAGACTAGCTTAGAAACAACCAACTTCAGTATCTTGTACCCAAAGGAACATAGTTCAGGTTCATTGGAAATGACTCGAGTTTTTCCTCTTTCCTCTAGCAGTCCTTGCTATCAGTCCTGAAGGGGAATATTTAGTTCATTAGCAATAACAAATAATACACTAAGTAAACACTGTGTAACTCTCCTCTGGCCAACAAAAGTGTACCCCTCTTTAAGATTAAACATGTTCTCAAATATGCAGGAGTGGAGAATTGTCAAAGAGAATGTTGCCCATAGTTAAAGTGAATTTATGATTTCTTATGCTCAGGAAGTTTTTCTAATGTAATTCTTTCAGCCGTGCTGTGTAGAATATTTTCCTAAAGTTGTCTAGGCTTTTTTTTTTTTTTTTTTTTTTTAAGTAATTGAGCATAATTTGAAGCTCAGTCCGGGCTATTTCATGATATACATGACTGCTAAGGCTTATGGCATCGTACAGTATACATTTTGTCTTGCATTCATTCTGTTTCAATAGGGTAATTGCTGAGGGCATATACGATGGCTGACTTTTCTTGTGTACCTCCAGAGTGCCTAGGATAGTGCTAGCAAACCAAAACCAAACTTGTTGCCATTGAGCCAATTCTGATTCATAGTGACCCTCTAGGACAGGGTGGAACTGCTATATAGGGTTTCCAAAGAGCAGCTGGTGGATTTGAACTGTTGATCTTTGGTTGGCAGCCGAGCACTATTACCACTGTGCCACCAGGGCTCCAGGATAGTGTTGAGCACCCAGTAAATGCTTACTGGTTTTTGGGTTTTTACATTGGCAGACCAAGAAAAGAACTTTTAAAGATTTATGGATTGTCAAAGCCTGTTAAGATTTGGAGTTCTACTCTGTCCTATACGGTCGCTATGAGTAGGAATTGACTCCAAGGCAATGGATTTGGTTTAGTATTAAGATTTATAGTTTGCCAAAACTTATTATAGTAAATAAATATGGGGTGAGTGGCTTAAAAATTAACCAGAAAAGATTATGTACGATTGAAGATAATAAAATAAACTAAGGTAAGTTTAATCACTGAATTATTGTGAAAAACAAACTCATCCTGTGACCTTGTTGATGGCATTGACAAATGACAGGAAGCTTGCACCCTGAAATGTAACTTCTATGAGCAGAGAAACAACAAAAATTATAATATAATAATAATTGTGACTAGAAGACTGTGTGGTCTCCACAGATCTTTAAAAAGAATAAGAACAGGTTAGGCAAGAGAAGATCTTCTGGATGTCTGACCCTGACTATTTCAATGAAATTATCTCTCAAGTAGAGGTTAGGACAATAGATTACCATTCTGTGATATTTCTTGATTTCAAACTCCCTTTCCTTTCTCTTATGAGCCCTGGTGGCACAGTGGGTAAGCGCTCAGCTGCTAACGGAAAGGTCGGTAGTTGGAACCCACCAGACACTCCTTGGGAGAAAGATGAGGCAGTCTGCTTCTGTAAAGATTTACAGCCTTGGAAACCCCCTAGGGGACAGTTCTACTCTGTCCTTTAGGGTTGCCATGAGTTGGAATGGACTTGATGGCAACGGGTTCCTTTCTGTTTATGCTCACCAAACAATTAGACTTGCCCCCTGCACATGACCACTCATGATAATAACGGGCATTTATACAGCTATCACTATGTGCCAAGAACTATGTGTCAGGTTCTGGTGTTATCCTGAGTGAGTTCAAGTCTTAGAGAATAAAACCAAAACAAGCAAACCCTTTGCCGTCAAGTCAATTCCAACTCATAGTGACCCTACAGGACAGAGTAGAACTGCGCCATAAGGTTTCCAAGGAGCGCCTGGTGGATGCCAACTGCCAACCTTTTGGTTAGCAGCCGAACTCTTAACCACTACGCTACCAGGGTTTCCTACAGAATAAAGGGATCCCCAAATCACCTAGTTTAAATCCCTCAATTAAAAAAAAGTAAATTAAAGATAAGACAGTTCCAGTAGTGTTATGGTTTGAATTGTGTCTCCCCCAAAATATATTGAAATCCTAACCCCTGTACCTGTAAAGGGAGCCCTGGGGGCAATTCTACTCTGTCCTATAGGATCGCTATGAGTTGGAATCAACTCCATGGCAAAGGGTTTGGTTTGGTACCTGTAAATATGATCCTTTTTGGAAATATAGTTTTCTTTCATTATGTTAATGAGGTCATACCTGAGTAAGGTGGGTCCTAAACCTAATCACTTCTGAATTATAAAAAAGGCTGAATAAACACAAAGACACACACGGGGGAGAGGAAGACAGACAATGTCGACAAGTGCATCTACAAGCCCAGGAACGCCAAAAATTGTTGGAAGCTACTAGAAGCTGAAATAGACAAGGAAGGACCTGCCGCTAGAGCCATGCCCTGAATTTGGACTTCTAGCCTCCTGAACTGTGAAAAAATAAATTTCTGTTCTTTGAAGCCACCTACACATGGTATTTGTGTTACAGCAGCACTAGGTAACTAAGATAGGTGACTTTCTCACATTAACCCAGCAATTCAGTGGCAGAATAGTGGTTAAGACCCAGATCCTTGATTCCGAGGCTGAGCTTGGTTTGTAAGTTATCAGCAATTGTCCTCTTGTTTCATGAAGATATCTGAGGAGCCACAGCTAAGCAGAGGAGGGAATGATCAGAATGGATGGCAGTTGCTTCTCTCCCATTTCAGTCAGAGAAATTCTATTTTATGTTCTATGGTTTGCATTCTGAGCAAGACATCATAAAGTTTTTCACTTCTAAAATTATTTAAAAATCATTGCTACGTACCTTACTATTTGAATAAGTAGTATATTGAAACTGTGAATTACAATACTAATTTTTAATAAAATTTGCTACTGGTTCAGAAATTAATGCTCCCTAAGGATGGCCTGGTATTATTTTTTAGGTTTGTTACTTGTGTTAATTTTTAAGAAATATTCAGCATTGGCTTAGGTGTAAGGACTGCTTTACCTGAAGATAGGTATTGAAAGTTCACCATCTCTTTCTATCAGAGGTGCCTTCAAAGGAGGTAGAAAAGGATGGGAGGAATATAGGGCACTGATGTCTGGGTAGAGGTTTGGGAAGCTGGAGATATTATCACTCATAAACTCACCTTCTTCCAAATTATCCAAAATCTACCCTAATCAATATCTTAGAATTTAGCAGAGTATTAAAAAAAATTGTAAACAATTTACTCGAGATGCTAAGTTGTACTTACTAATGCATGCCAACAGAAGTGGTCCATCTCTTTTAGAGGGAAATAGGCAGGTGCTGAAATACTCCATAAAAGGAGCCAGGATTAATAATGGTAGGATGCTGATCACATTCATTACTGCAATCGGCAGAAGAAATCCGTTCAAATTTAGGTTGGAATTCATGGTCTGCAGATAATATCCTGAAGGAATCTGTATTTGAGGGGGAAAAGCAGCCATCAGTGGTTTAACTTTGGAGAAAGCCTCCTGCGGCCGAGCCTTGCCTGATGCTTGAGCTATGTGACCAATGAGCTGGATGTTCCCTAGCTTTTCAGGTTCCAATTACGAGCTGATAGTCTTCATCTGTGACATTAGGACTTCTGTTTAGTCTGTTAGCAATACTGTGGAGGAATCCTTTGTCATCTAGTCTATCTTCTAGCTTTTCCTATAGAAAGTAAAGGTTGCTCTAATTTTGTGTTTAGGATGCCACCTAAGAAATCAAATAACTTCAGATTTTTATATAAAGCTTTTTTTCATGAGCAGTAAAGTCAAAACCAGTAGAAAGTGTTAAGGATGTTTGTTTTTGGCTAAATGAATAAAAAGAAAACAAAAGATTTTTGGTTAGAATAGATTCTTCAACCAGCATCTACTTCAGTGGCAAAATAGATAGGAATGATTCTTTTTTTTTCCTAAGAAGATGGGTTCAGTGTGGAGAACACATTACCTGTTCTTAGGCTGTCTTTGTGGGCTCCCTGGATTGGCCCTATTTCTAATGTGAGTCAAGTAATGTGAGAAAAAAGAGAGAAAACATGCATAGGCCCGTGCTCCCCTTTTAAATTAATTGCGTGGTACTAGTGGACCATACCCCCATCCATCTGTCAGTTTGCTGTACTGTGGTGGCTTGCATGTTGCTATGATGCTGGAAGCTGCGCCGGCGGTATTTCAAATCCTGGCAGGATCACCTATGATGGACGCATTTCAATGGGGCTTCCAGACTAAGAAAGACTAGGAAGAAAGGCCTGGTGATCTACATCTGAAAATTTGGCCAGTGAAAAACCCTATGGATCACAACAGAATATTGTCTGATATAGTGCTGGAAGATGAGCCCCTGAGTTGGAAGGCGCTCAAAATACACAGTGGCCGCAACAATGGACTCCAGCATACCAATGTCTGTGAAGATGGCACAGGACCAGGCAAAATTTTGTTCTGTTGATTCATGAGGTTGCCCATGAATCAGAGTCGACTCGACAGCAACTAACAAAAGTGGTCTACAAAGGGAGCTACATGAAAAAAGATTTGTGTAACAAATAACTGATATTTAAAAAAAAAATTCCCCTACCTCCCACAAGACCCTCAATGTAGTGTTAGAATTTCTTCATTTCAGAAAATAAATCCCAATGCTAACTGAAACTCTGACCCTAACCTGAAGCCTCTTCATGTGTTCCAAGCCCTTCTTAGGTCATAATACAGTCAGAACTAAGACACCGTGTCCCAAGAAAGGGGGCATCTCCTCACTGCTCTAGTTCCGGAGCGTCGTTACAATCCTCCCACCGTCTTTGCTGTCATTAGCGGCAGGTAATATTTCCTTAATGCCCAGTGGCACACGAAGCTACTTACTGGCATGGAGAGAAAGTCAGCCCTTGTCTTCTCCTTGAGAAATGGATTCTCTAAACTATTTTTCTTACAGTGCATGAGCCGATTAGGATTCCTGCCTCACCACCATCCCAGGAGAGCATCCCTGTTCAAGCATCCGGATGATAACCTCTCATTTAAAATGTTCACTACGTCCTTCTTCTATAATAAATTGTAAAATCTGAGATAGAATAGGGAGAATCAGAGTCATGGAGGCAGTTCAGCCGTTACCAAGTCTGCCATTTGTAAAATGAGGCTAATGCTGCGTTAACCGCTGAAAAACAGAAACTGACCACATGTTCACTGAGGTTCTTTCTATCTGTAAAACTTGTCCTGGTAATAATTTATCCTCTAATCATTGTTTGACCCTTACGATAGTAAACAAAGATTGTTTTGGTTGGGTACAGATGGCAAGAGGGAAGAGAACATTAGCTAGTTCTGCCCCAGTTCAATAAAATTAATAAGTGCATATCCTCCAATAAGAGGAAAATGAATAATGTTTTTATAAAAAAGTGCTGACAGCAGAACTACTCTAAGACTGAAAGGCTCCGAGCACAACTTGGAAGTTTCTGTTACTGGTTTCAAATGAGAATTATTGTTAATAGGAATAAAGTTATTATCAGTATGAATCACAGACACAGAAACCTGTTAACTTAATAATGTGGCAAATGTACTATTAATCTTTAGTGAAGCAATATTAATATATTGCCTAATCTAAGAAAAGGCTCCAGTGTCTCGAAAGCTTGAAATCATTTCTGCTTCTACCTCAAGTTCTGAAATCATCCCCTTTTAAAATTTTAAATACTTTTATTTCATACAAGCCTGTAAGCATTCAGAAATAATTGCTGTCAATAGAGATTCATTTTCATCTTTGAGTGGCCAGCAATGACAAATGGCAACATCATCAACCTTAATATCAACATATTTTAAATGTATGTCTTGGAACTGAAGGTCAATAATAGGTACTAAATTTAAAATATGGAATCCTATGATATTTTAGTCTCAGTACTTTGATTGCCTTTGTACTGCTAAATCAGTAATCACTTCCTCTGAGGGCAGAAATCTAATTCCAGCCTATCCCAATGGAAGTGTCCTTGGACTCCCTAGACAGGTACGGTCTAATTATTTTCTTTGAAGTTTCCAGCATAACGTTACCATATGTATATAATTTTGGAATTTACGTAGTCTCTGTTAGGGATTTTTGACCCAGCCATGGAGAGACACTACAGGTAATAGCAAAGCATGGGCGTTGATAACAGCCCTGAGTCGAATGGCTGCTCTGCCATATACTGGCAGGGTGATCAGGGGCAAGTTACTTAATGTCTCTGCGCCTCAGAGTTAAGAGAATATTAGACTTCGTAGGCTTGTTGTGAGGATTAAATTAGATTCTGTGAAGCCACCTTCTAGAGCTATGAGACATAATAGGTATTCAAAAAATATTAGTTTTTGTTCTGTGAAATAAACTGGGCATCTAGATTTGGTGAAATGCTTAAAAAATAGTTATCCAAATTTATGTCAGATTAAATATATATATACACATATATGTGTGTGTATATATATATATACATATATATATATACACACACACAACAGTTTGTAGAAAGGGCTCAAGCTCAATCAAAGGAAATATCAGCTGTCACTGCATTATGGAGATTAGAAATCAATAGTTTGTGCTCGTTGCAGAGTGAGTTTGAGTCAAGCTATGGGCCATTAACTTCTCCATTCTAAGATGTTTTTATGACATTAATGATCATATATATGGGCAAGCTGTCTGCTGTATTCTATATTTTTGTGTCAGCCATTGCTGTAGAATCAGGAGGGAGGTGAATCTTCTAAATCAGACTATCTTTCAAGCATTGTCTAGACCAGCAGTTAGCAAACTTCTGTAAAGGGCCAGATATTAAATATTTCCACATATGATTTCTGTTGTAACTACTCAACTCTGCTGTTGTCACATGTAAGCAGCCATATATAAGACAGACAAATGAGTGTCTCTTTGTTCTAATAAAACTTTATTTATGGACGCTGAGATTTAAATTTCATATAATTTTCATGTGTTACAAAATATTGTTTTTCTTCTGATTTTTTTCAACCACATAAAAATGTACAAACCTTCTTAACTTACAGACCATAAAAAAAACGGGCAGTGGACTGGATTTGGCCAGTGGGCAGTGGTTTAGGAGAGTGAGCGTTGTACTAAGAGCCAGGAAGTAGATGACCTACCTCCCAAAACAATCACTTAATTTTTCTGAACCTCAGTTTCCTCTCCAGCAAATTAAGTAGATGAGTAAGTTAATGTCTAAGTTTCTTTTCCTCTTCTTTTTTTTAAATTGTGCTTTAGGTGAAAGTTTACAGAGCAAATTAGTTTCTCATTAAACAGTTAATAACACAAATTGTTTTGTGACATTGGTTCCCAGCCCCGCAATGTGTCAACACTTTCCCCTTCTCCACCCTGGGTTCTCTGTTTCCATTCATCCAGTTTTCCTGTCCCTTCCTGCCTTCTTGTCTTTGCTTTTGGGCTAGTGTGCCCATTAGTCGTGTATACATGCTTGAACTAGGAAGCACGTCCCTCATGTGTGTTATTGTTGGCCCTAAAAACCTGTCTAACTTTGGCTGAAAGGTGACTCTAAAGAGTTACTTCAGTACTGAGCTAAAAGGGTATCTGGGGGCCATACTCTCGGGGTTTCTCTAGTCTCAGTCAGACCAGCAAGGCTGGTCTTTTTTTGTGTGTGAATTTAATTTTCTTCTACATTTTTCTCCCTCTCTGTCTGGGACCCTCTATTATGATTCCTGTCAGAGCAGTCGGCGGTGGTAACTGGGCACCATCTAGTTGTTCTGGGCTCAGTCTGGTGGAGGTTGTGGCAGTTGTGGTCCATTCGTCATTTGGACTAATCTTTCCCTTGTCTGAGTTTCTTTTTAGCTCTATTGTCCTATGATTTATGAATACAACTCACTTATTGACCTTCTAAATTTCAAATTGGGGGTTAGCAATGGAGAAAGTCTCAAACTTACTGAAAGACGTTTATGATCCTTTATTTTTCTTAAGAGATAAGTTAGCCTTTGACCATAACCACATTATTATTTTTAAATCATAAATACTTATAAAAGGTACTTTGGGTTAGTGTTTTTTCTCTGCTTTTTCTACAGTATAGTTACTGATTCACTAAGGAACTAATAGAGTGGGTGGGAAGAGAATCACTTGCTCATTAGTACTTATACTTAAGAGTACAGTGGAGGTGGTACTCAAATCAGTCAGTTTAGCTACTTGTTAGCACCACTTTTTAAAGGTTTAATGAGGGAAGAGGGTAAAACCTTTAGCTAAAGGGAGATTTTGTAATTGCCTACGAATTTAATATTTTTGTGGGCTTCTCCAGAGTCTTGTGACTATGCAGTATGATGTACTGTCTTGTGTACCTATCGACAAACATCTTTAGTTCTATGGGAGATCAACAGCACATGCCCAGGTTCTTCTCACGTGCATGTCTGTCTGAACCTGCTTAGTTCTTGAAATAAGAGCCCAGCTCCA